TACTCTATATACCTACCTCTATATCAGGTATTCCAAAGGGGCAGATTTTGAAAGAATAAGGAATTCTCCAACGGTCATTCTTTTATAAAAGCCTAGGCGAGCTATATCGTAATGTACATTTCCGCATAATAAGCAGAAGCATGTACACACAGAATATTCTACCTTTCGCGAATGTTGATTGGGATAAAAAACATTGCGGCAGAGGCGTTCCAAGCACTGCTGACGTTCGTTGGTTGGTGTGTCCATTCGACCATGGAACATGGGTCTTTTGCTGGGGAAATGTGTTTATATTACGTCCTTATCAGTGCCGGGACATCATGACAGTGAAATTAATTAACAATCACATTAACACTCGAGGTTGATGGACACAAACGTGGCGTTAAGTTGCCATCTGTTCGCAATGGAGTCATTCATTCATTCATTCAATCAATTAGCAATCCATCGAAGAAGAGGATGACAAACACGAATGGTTGGGGTTTTAATAGGACTTGCTTGTTTTCCACACATTCAAGTGTAACATGAGGTGTGTGATAACATTGACATTTGACCCCTTTAAGAATGTGTTCAAAAATATTCCTTTATTGTTGAGTATAATTCTACTCTGAGTTCATGAATATTCGTTTTCCAGGAAAGTTAAGCCGATTTCGTCACATCTGTCGCAAAGAATCTTTGCCGGTGGCGTGCTTTGAGGATGCTTTCCAAATTATCGTAGTGCAGAAATAGGTTTTGGTAGACTAAAATAGAAACTTATTGGAAGCTATGCTGTATTCACAGAAAAATAGAAGTCTTTTCGCATCAGCTCAATCAGAATGTATTGTGAAGTTGTAAAGAAAGGCTTTCTCCAAGCTGTTGCTTTTCTGTTTATTGAATACATATGGTGTTTTTCTCGATCAAAGGACTAGAATTCTGCCCACATTTTGTCATTAAAATCGGTTCAAGTTTAGATATAGCTCCCATATATATCTTCGTCCGATTTCAAATTTATTGTGCGCCATATTCAAATTCGACCGAATTGGGCATAGACACAACTACCTCTAATTTGGCGAAAATCGGTTCAGATATAGCTACAGCTTCCATATATAAGTTTCATCCGAATTCGTATTAAAGTCCCTCACATACGCACTTCATCCGATTCCACGCTTATTCCGCGCCAAATTTGTAATATCAGTCGATATGGAATGAATTTCGGTACATTCGACTAAATTCAGCCAATAGTAAAAATTTAATTATTTTCAAAGTCATATCATACACTTCGTCATATTTAGTGTGTGTCGGTTCGGAGTAGGATATACCTCCTTTATAATAGTTCCTTTCGATATGGCTCTAAAGCCAAAATATGCATACAAAAACGATAAATTCCAAATATGAACCTTAGTTTCTTACTGGTAGCTCAACTAAATAGGCAAAGTGGTTTTGACCTTTTTTTACTGGTTGTTAAGTCCCAACGTAAAGGCCCTCTTTGTTTGGTAACTTCCAAGGGGATTTTATCAAGCCGGTGTCATTAAATAATTAACATAAATATTACCCTATTTCCCAACAAAGCGAACATAAAAAGACTAGTCCAGGGAAATATAATTTGGGGTCATAGAGCACTAAAATGCAATAAATCGATTCGTTAATTTCAAAACCATCCATGATCGAAGATTGTACCGTAATCAGTAATTGAATTTGTCGAGATACATAGTATCACGAAATTGGGTTTACCGTACACTGATAGATTTATTATTGTCATGTAAATGTGATCCGAATATTTTGAGGAACTCATAACGGAAACGTAGGACTTACGAATCGGATTGGAGACGTCTATCATAAGCAAACTCTCTTTCCCTGTCAAACATTTAGTTGTGTAATCTTCAACATGGACTATACCCGCTTTCTAGCCAATTTCTGGAATAATATTTACTCTTTACGAAAAATACACGATTTGTACCATCAATAACTATATGAAGTTTAAAATGAGGTTTTCATCAGGGTTTGAAAGTGAGGAGAGCTCGAAATATATAATTCTGCTGTCCGCGGCAATGTTATTGTTTTAAATTCGAAATTTTAGGCTGTAGTCGCAGTCATAAACAGCAAAATACATAACCATTGCGTTGCCAGTTTGTCACTGTTATCGAGATTTTCTTCGCTGCGGTATTACCTGTCATCAACAGCGTTTTCGTATAACCCTTGTAACGGGACCTCCGATATTCCGTGAGATGAAATAACTGCAACTGACTTCAGACTGCTGACATTTCTAAGCCACTCGTCCGACAGCTGTTAAAATTACTCCAGTGACAGCTCATTATATTGTTTACAAGCGTACAAAAGCATTTTGGTGAGAATTTTCTAGAAAAAAAGTTATTCGTGATGGAATTCAAGCGTGATAGTGATTTCTTTATATTTGGCTGGAAAACTACAAGTGGCTATCGTTAGAGCCCTCCAGCATTTACATGTGAATAAATCTTTTGTGTCTCGTACCATCGCTCATTACCGTGATACTGATAGCGTAGCCCGACGTCAAGGAAGTGGACGGAAGAAAACAACAACATCAACAGAAATAGTTCGAAAAGTAAACGAGCAACTTGATCGCAACCCGCGTCACAGTGGCCGATAAATGGCTCGTGAGCTGAACATATCGCAATATTCCATCCGGCAAGAACTTACACTGCAACAGAAAGAAAATAGACTCAAGAGAGCTAAAGAATTGCTTCGCTTGGCCGAAAGTGGCGAGCTGTCGAATTTGGTTTTCTCCGATGAGAAAACATTCGTTGTCTAGCAGTTTGTAAACAAACAAAATGATCGTGTTTACTTGCCAAAGAGGTGAACTGAAAATGTGCACCTTCGGTTGGCCACCAGAACTCAAGCGCCGGCCGTGGTGATGGTTTGGGCCGCCATAACAGCCGATGGTCGCTCTCCGCTCGTATTAATCGACCGTGGCATCGGAATAGATGCCGAATATTATGGCGAAAATATACTGGAGGGTGTATTAAAGCCTTGGGCACGCAAACGTTTTGGCCGCAGACCTTGGACATTTCAACAGGACTCAACACCTTTGCACTCAGCACGCGCCACCCAAGAATGGTTACAAAATGAGGTTCCTTGCTTCATGCCAGCGCACAATGGCCACAAAAATCTCCGGATACCAATCCGTTGGACTATTGGGTCTGGAGTATTTTAGAAAGCAAAGTTGGCACTAAAAAATACCAAAGTGTCGATCACCTCAAGCAAGCGCTTCGCCGGGAATGGACCAAAATACCGCAGAGCAACATTCGGGCAGCGTGTGACGGTTTCATTGGCCGTTTGAAGGTCATAGGTGCCTTCAAAAATGAACAATTCGAACAGATCTAAACGTTTTCTAATATTTCGCTTTCATTCAATAAATTAAAAACAATGTAAAAATTATGGCGTTTGACTTGGTTGCAGTTTTTTTATCTCACCCTGTATATGTATATAATATAATCCGTGGCAAAATGTATTATATCTTTTTCGACGGACATGTTTAAAAATTGGTATTTGTCGTTCGTAATGATTTATAGCTCCGGTGACAGAGCAATGTATGTGTAGGTCCACGTTTTCCTATAGCGTACATATAACGATACCTTCGGACATTAGGTATTTTGACGATTTAAGTCAAATTTTCTAACGTATTTGTGTCATTTGTATTATATATATATGGATCCTACAATCAGTGTCAGTGTCAGTGTCCATATCGATCCACTGTTTCCATAGAAATATTACCCACCGATATTCGGTATTTTTATAACCATAATCACATTTATCCACGAAGTTGTTTCAAATTTTGTACTTAAGACTCGCCATAAGTTTCCGGTTTTGGTGTGGCTCCCATATAACGGCACCACAAACTTTATTGCTTTTTGAACACCTTACCGCTTTCTTAAACTTAAACTCTATCGAACAGTCTGGGCACAGTCAACGTTATCTGATGTTTAAATTGTCGCAGCACAGCACCAGTTTCCGTATTTTTGTTTCTGAGGACTGTGGCTGTTACTGCTAGCTGTACCTGGTCGTACACACTGTACAGACAGATCGTAGTAAATCTTGGAATATGGCAGCAAATACGATCGTCTTATTCAAAACCCAAAGATGATGTTGTACAGTATGTTGCAATGCTACGTACCATGCATATGGTACCCAGATCCAAAATAGTGACTACGCTTCCGCATTTAAGGGCTGTCCGGATTGAGAAGGCTGGCAGTTTGCACCACCTTGAATGATGACTTGCGACAAATAGCATTCCCATGGAAAAGGTAATGATGAAAACAAATCCAGCATTTAGATTTCAACACAAAAACCATTAGTCATATTAATCCCAACAGAGTCATTAAGTCGTAAAAGAACAAATATGAATGAAGGAAGGCAAAGGTAAGAGCACGGCTGAACTTTGTTACCGACGACACAGCCTGTGAACTTCACGTGGACACGGGGAGGTTTGCCGCAAGAGGAAACCCGCCCAGACTTGGCTGTGTGAAAGAAAAAGCAACACAACATAAACTGGGATAAATGGGTAAAGGCCGACAGAACACACAAAGCAGCCAGAGCACGGCCAGATAGGGACGGGGCGGAAAGACAAATACTTGTACGGTAATGAAAAATTAAAATCAAAGTACACATTTACGAGAGTATAATCGTGAATAAATTGTTATTACTTTTCCTATCCAAATGTTTTTTCTTTCTTTCTGAAGACAACTGTCTTCCGTCGTCATCTCATTTGCGGGTTCGAAGCGGGCGCGTAAGTCTTCTGCAAGATAAACATGGCTTCTGTTGATATATTTTTTATTAACTTTGCGTTCCTCAGATGAATATTTAAGTAGCTTGGACGGCAATCGTTGCATCCTTTTGATCGGAATCTTTTTAAATTATTTTTTTATTATTTATTTTGTGAAAATGCCTGAACAGCTTGTGCTAACGTCCTACAGACGTTAATGTTGTTGGAGGGTCCTTACACTACTGGAAAATTTTAATTTAATTTTATTTATTTTTCCCCTTTGCCATTTCAGGTATTGAGGGGTGGAGTGGTCGTTAATTGCCCGCTCGAACGATGAGAGGCATGTTTAGATTGAAGTTTGAAGAGGTCAGTACAGTGGCGTAGTTTTCAATGCACTGCAAGACATTTTGAATGGCCATTTCGAGAGTCCTTGGAAAACATTGCCGTCGCAGCGCACACGGCTTTGGAAGAAATCAAAAGGTTAATTACGAAATTGTTGAAGCGATTACAACAGTCAACAGCCGGAACATGGCCGTGCCGTTTTAAACAACAAATTTTCAAAATAGCTACTCAGGCCTGAAACTAATGTTGGCGATGACGACGATGACGAGGGTGGCGGAGTTCCACGGCAATTCAAACACTGCAGCTGGCCAAAGGTCACGCACTTACTACATGGCATATAAGCATTTGTAGATTCCTTGGAATAACCACCTAAGACAAGTAACATGGAGGGACATTTTAAATACGAAACGAGCAAGGAAATTTATTTAATCTACAACAATAGCAATAGCCATCAATGGCCATCGAACACAGCGCTAGATTCTGAATACACTTCGTCGCTTCACATTCTGTCCAGTTACAACAACAACAGCTATTTCGATTTCGACTACGATTCTTATTTCAAAGGAACAGACTCCCTAGCGGGCGCTGCTCCAACCCTCGTCCCCGACGCGAATCAGGCACAAGAGGCTCACACAACTTCAAGTCGGCCGGATGAATTGCTCGTCAACAGCCACTTTAACAATTACTGGGCATTATTGGCACTGATATTGGTGATAGGAACAGCTGCTGGCAACATTCTCGTTTGTCTGGCTATCGCCTGGGAACGGCGCCTGCAAAATGTCACCAACTATTTTCTCATGTCGTTGGCCATAACGGATCTGATGGTGGCGGTATTGGTCATGCCTTTAGGCATCCTGACCTTGGTCAAAGGTAAGAGTCTGGAGATTACTTTGTTAGTCACCAATGAGAGGGTCTGTTTAGTCCCGAGTTTAACCCAATTTAATTACCTCTCGACATATATTGAGGGGGAAAATACACGGATCTTCAATTGTCTCCCGTTAGATCTGCTCACATAAATGGCTAACAAATGAGAAATGCTAGAGATCGAACTCAACATTTTCATTATTATTTAGTACCCAACAGTTTCCACACATCCTGTCGTGTCTAATCGCAGTAGTGAAGCTAGCCAATATTGGAAACATCACACCTCGGTCAATAACAACTTAAATGTGTGGATACTTGCTTTCCTTGATATCTAGCCATTACTAGGATAAAATGGTATTTTGAGGATATATTCGAAAGGCGGTGCATTCTATGACTTCTTCTATGATTTATTTTAAAATTGTGGTCTAGTTACAAAAAGGGATGGTGATGTTTTGACAAAGTATCAAACATAGCTATAGGACTCCTCACATTGCTCTGTGGTGAATTTGTTGGTACACAGGAGCAGACGCACACGGACGGCTCCTTTGAATGGCCGAACTGAGTTAAGACAGACAAGTCAATATTCTGACATTACTCAATTTGTTAAATTGTCCCCCGTTAGACCCATTTGAAATCAAAGGATTGCCAAAATGTTGTAGAGCGCTGAAAGTTGTTGTGTGTGTGTGTCCCTCCAAAGGCTGTCGTCGAGCGCGGCGGGAAATGAATGGTCGGCAAAAGATTTATTCGAATTATTGTTATGTGTCACACAAAACCGAGAAGCAACACCAGCAACGAGAAGACGAAGCCTTTTGCAATGAAAGACAGTTTCTTTGGAATTGTAAGTGTGTGCGTGTGTGCGCATGGCAAGCGATTCTTTTGTGTGGGAACATCACAAATACAAATATCACTCATACGTCACTTTAATTTCGCAAAAAGTCCTTCAAAAGCCTCCAATTGTTAGCATTTTGCCTCCTTTGTGCGATTTGCGATGAATGCGGGCTACCTTTTCACGTTGCTTCCATTCAGAGTTTCATAAATCATTGAGCCGTTTGTTGGTTATCGTTTCGTTCGAAAGGGAAGCCGAACATGAAACCCTTTGTTGCAATACGAGTCTTCGGGAGAGTGTCCCTTTCCAACTGGCAGAGGCTTTGCAGCGACGAGCCTTGTGATGAGCGTAGCTGTTGGGGGTGAGTGGAACGTCTCAGGCATTCATCCGTCTTGGCTAAGTCATCAATTATCAGCGTTTTTTAAGTAGAATATATTTATAATGGCCCGACAGCAAATTGAATCCTCTGCGGTGTTGGCTGTTTGATGTTTCAGTCGCAGAAAGAGTTTCTGTTTGTCAACGCTGCCTGTCTGTCTCTATAATTCCAACGCCCGCATTTCATTTGTATTAGCGATGCCAAACACCAGCACACATACAAATGTTGTTGTTGTTGTTGCTTCTGCTGCTGCTGCTGCTGCTGTCATTTTCATTGAACTAAATAAAAACGTCAATTCGTCTAGTAATTGATGATGACAGCTAACAAAAGGAAGCTGTTCATAAAGCCTCCCGGAAAATCCCTTAACAAATGAAAATCATTTTCCTTGCGAAACCAAATTCTAATGAAACAATTTGGGTTCCCAGCCATGATCGGATTCAAGATGGCAGAATGAAATTAAAAATATACATAAAACCACAAAGAAAATTTGTACTTCGAATCAGAGTGAGCGTAACGAAAACTCTTTTTTGGCAGTCGGATCTAGGATTCGAATCATGCGCACGACACATCCAACATTATAACACATATTAGATGTGGAAGGATTGTACAGGTTGTCCAATAATAGTAGTACCGAATATAGTTAGCTTCACTGAGCCCCATCAATTAACTAAATAAGGAAAGGCTATAGTCGCACGGGGCCGACCGTGTGATACCCTACAACACTATAATATATTGGAAAACCTCCTTAGCTACAAACATATTTTAGTCTATTATTAGATATAATGCCGTACTGTCCTGTACAAATTTTACCTATGGTTTTTTACGGATATATTTACCCTATATTAACACTCTATGTCGTGCTGATGGGTATCCAAAACAATTACGCATAAAATATGTGGTCCATTTTACCCGCTAAATATAATTCAGAGGTCGTCCACAATGCTACACTTTTGCACTGTTCTAAAACCTGACCTAATGCAAAATTCCGTGACGATTGGTTGTTAACAATAATTGCGGCTTGAATAAAATACTCTCCTTTTCTGGCAAGAGGCCATTCCGAATTTGGATTAGTGGAAATTTTCGTATTTTTTTACATCAAAGTTATGATCTATTTTACCCGATAAATATTGTTTGAGGACCAAACAAAATGGTAGGCTTCTGACCAGCCTTAAACTCTAGTCTAATACTATACATAGCTAGATCGACTCAGCTCGGCGAGATTAGATCCATATTTAGTTTCCTATGTCGGGGACCAATATTTCGACGTGTTACATAAGTTTTGGCCCAATCAAACTTATAATACCCCCAACACGTAGTGCTGTATGGTATAAAAACATAATATTCCTCATGTCGAAAAAGAAGGCCTGATCGAAACATCAACAACACACATGTGTATTTTTTCTTCAGTAACATGACTGCGTGTTGCTGACTGCTAGGCTTTATCGTTAAAAATGACGATTCCATAAAATTATGTAACACATCGAGAAAAGAAGAAGCATCCATTGATTGACTTACTTACCTCATGCGCTCATTTTATTGAATCGTTTAGCCATGGTAGAAGAATACAGGTAGATGTATCAACGATGGAGAACATTGATTTGTCAATTTTTTTAATGTTTTTTCAAAAATAATTAGATTTTTATATATTTTCTTATACGACAAATATCAAAATTTTTTTCAATTCCAAAATTGGTTTGACAGTCTATTGTCCCAGCAGCTGTGTCGATGTGAATACCTGTATCCCTCTACCTTGGGTTTTGTCGAACAAGTTCGGTGTGTGAACCATGCAGATCCCATATCGAAAAGACCGATCCTTTTCCAGCAAATGCATCGGTTTTGAGCGTCCTTACAAACGTCTCTTAATTTATTTGAGCGCCAGACGCCAACATTTTGTTGGTTAAGAGGCGTAGACCGTTGAGCTATAGAACATCGCAGTGGTCTATCTGACTAGCAGCTACAAAACCTTTAATAAATATGAAGGCCACCTTTAGCGTTTTATTTAAGCGGTTCTAGGAATCTATTTCCGATCAGGCTTTTATCATTTATAAATGTAAATAAATACAATTCCGTTATTTCTATCGCATCTATTTGTATCCATTCTCCGATGGGGGTGTGCCGATTATTTTGACAATTTTCCAATTAGCATTTTTTATATTTGGGCATGTATTTCGGTACATTTATCTGCTTACATACATACACACTCCATACACAATATGACTGGTAACGTCAAACGTGTGCCCAATTTGTTATGGAGGCCTAAAATAGAACAGGGATACAAATTAAATGCTATGACTTAACGTTCTATTCATCCGAGTCCTGTGCACAAATGTCAAGCGTGTTGTAACAGGCAAAGGACCCTGCCTGATGAGTTCGTATGTCTGTGTGAAAGTCTGTACTTGCTATCGGGCTACGGATAATTTAAAGTGTGCTAGTATTATTGTAACCTGCAATTTGCCATCGATTGCCGGTTGTTGCCTCCACACAATGCTTTCTTGGTTAAGGGTTCGGCCCCTGTTGCCCTTGCAACGGCTTTTCCAGCATTGATAACATCGGTTGTTACTTTGGAATACAAGCAGTGTTCGTGTAAACTTGACTTGATGACTTTCGACCAAGTAGAAAATCAAGGCCGTTGCAATTATTTGAATATCGATTGCACGAAAGAGAAACCTTGCGTCCAGTGACCAGCCGACCACACCTATACATGTTGCCACCGTCTGTGTTGGCAAGGACAGCTCTGTCATTTCCCTCCTGAACTTGATAATAGGTTGTGTTCGTCACTCGAAGTGTATCGGACGTAGTTAGATTGAGCGATTGGGCATGCATTTATGCTCTCCGCATGGCCATGGCTGTTGCTTCGCACATGGCCTACATGCTATACCACGGCAGGATAATGAATGACGGACGGAAATGACACAATTTGCGGCACTTTGAGTAATTTGAGGACAATTTAGTCCTTCACTGCTCTGCTGCGAAGGCTTATCGAACGTCCTTTATGTAGTAAATTCCTACAGTTGTCCCTGAAGTAGGACGGATGATCCAAGTAGCAGTTGGCTTTCAAGTCTACAAAGAAATCACAGTACATCCAACGGGCAGGATACTCGTGGTTTACAATTTATTATCAGTTGACGGTTTGTTTTGGAATATTTTGACTTTTTAATGGGCCGGAGGTGAAAAACAATATTTTTTCCACACGTCCGTATTAATAGAGAAAACAGAAGAGAGGTTGTTTTCATTGCCATGTAATGTGGAATGTCGCTCATGTTGGATTGTGTTCACGAATTCAGTGAAGTGAATTTGCGATGTTAGGACTGTGCTAATAATTAAAAAAAAAAAACCTGCAGGTACTTTAAATTAGTAGTGATTAGTTGACCTACGATTTCTATGGGAGGTGCGAGGTCAATAGAAGTGTACATCACGATAGATGCTAGTAGTTGTTCAAGGACCAGGGATCATATGTATATAATAAAGTCCTTGGAGTTTGTGACCTCCCCCCCAAGATTTATGGCAGATTTGTTTTTCACATCTGTATACTCAAGTCAAGTCTTATTATCAGACGTGTTGTATTTTTATGACGACCAACACCGCCGTTTCCCATTATTCTCTCGTTTTCATGCAAACATGTTCCACAAGAAATATATTCGGACAATTGCACAATTTTAGTTTTATTTAACCTCCCCCACCCCCATAGGCCAATAAAACGATGCCACCGATGACACTTTAGAAATAAAAAACAATTCAATTGAGTTAAATGCCAATTCTTACATCTGTTGAACAGGTCTCACAACGAGTGCTGTTGAAGAGACA